GTTTTTCATGTTACTGTTTTTATCTTGTGACTTTGGCCTGTGGATTTCTTTTGTTGTTTCTGATTCCAGTGTGAAACTCAAGACTTCCTTTGTTGAGTTTAAGCCTGTTTCTGTTTGTATACTTGATGTGCCCTTTTTGTTTTCTCATTGGGGATGAAAATCTGGTTGGTCTAGGCTTCAGGTTCTCTCTTTGGATTTTGTGGTAGGGGCCAGATGGCCCTAGACTCAGGAGTTCCCGCAGAGGCCCACGTCAGATGAAGATCAGATGCTCTCAGGCTCCCTCCTGAGGTCTGGGCCACTCTAGTCAGTGGCACAGTACAATTTGGGAAGCTTGCTAGGTTGAAGTTGGATTCAGGTGATCTCAGGCAGTCTGTAAAAGTCTGGGCCCCAACTATAGGGCAGTGAAGTGTAACACTGCAGCAGAGTGTGGTGCTGTAGGTGGTCCCAATGTAGGGGGACAGACAAGGCATGGTTTGGAAACCTCACCACCTGGTAGAGTTAAGAAGGTAGTCCAGAGATCTGGGGTGCTAAGAGCAGAAGCCAACCTGTGCCAAGGCTAGAAGAAGAACAGGGGGCTGGGAGATTCAGTTTGCTCAGATTGTGGGAGTAAAGGCACAATGGGCAGGATCAGACTTAGCAGTGAAGAAGGCTGGTCTCAGGAATCCCAGGCAAGTTGGGGTTGGCAGACAGCCAGGGTAGAAAGCTCTTCTGAGAAGTCTAAAGGCAAGTTGGATGTGAGGACAGCCTATGGCAGCCCTAAGAAACTAGACTGAAGAATTGAACTGGTATGGGTGCATGTGATCAGGACATATTGGGCAGTGTGGGTAAGAGGGTAGTTAAGAGATCTGGGGTGCTAAGAGTAGAAGTGGGCCTGTGCCCAAGGCTGTAAGGAGAACAGGATGTAGGGGCTGGGAGATTGAGTTTGCTCAGGTTGTGGGAGTCCACAATAAAATTTCTTAAGATGCCATCTGTTTCTTGATTATACAGACATCCTAACCTAAAAATATGGTTGTTAATTGCATACTTAAAGCCTTTCCATAATTTCTCATTCCCTCAAGACAATCATTTTAGAGATACCATTAATGACTCAGACTGTTACAGCCCTACATGCTTTCACAGTTCCTCTTAACACCCATTATATGTTTACATTCTTGCCTTATTTATTTATTTATTTATTTATTTATTTATTTATTTATATTTTTCAGACAGGTCTCCCTGTAGCCCAGCTGACTTGGAAATTGCCATGTAGCCCAGGTGGACCAGAATCTCACAGAGATCTGCCTATCTCTGCCTCTGGAGTGTTGGGATTAAAGGTATGCCCCACCATGCTCAGAACTTTTGTCTTCATCTTTAATTCTCATAGATTTGCATCTCAAATTTCCAGAACTAGTACACTGTCCTGAATATGAGATAATAAATATTAATGAGAACTATAGTTTTAGTTATATGCATGTTATATTTCTCAGCTGTTAGTAAATGTTGTATCTTACACAACTTCTCTCATGATTGTAAATTTATGAATTCTATGAAAGATGAACTC